ATTTCGATTTGTAAATTTAATCGCTCAGAACTTGGGACAAACACAAGAGGGCAATCCAAATGGTCGATGGCAGTTGTCGGTGGTCGATATCCACAGGTTTACCTATATATCTACTATCTCATATCTACGATATTAGTCTCTTACATAAAAGAGTAAAGCTTGCTGCAGATTACTCGTTTAAAGCTAATAGTTTATTATAGGACGTTTGTCAACGAGGAAAACTGATAGTTGAATATACGAAGCCACTCAAACAGTCTAAATATAAACATATCTATCAGGCACTTTATATCAATGGCGATTCATCGACAACACTCTGGCTCAGTGCATGGATCATTATTACATTAAACATGGGGTTTCAGGGCCGAAGCTACCATTTAATCAGTTATCCGGTTTTAAAAAAGTGGTCCAGTATTTTTTATTATTTCTTGCTTATGTTATAAATATTTTTTACGTCCGAGGGGGCATAATGGATCCAAACTCATACCCTCACTAACTGGCTTTGCATATGTAAAAATAGCTTTAGTAAAAGCTGCGAGCTCATTAGGAATTCTAATCGCAGATGAATAACTATCATATAGATTCTGGATTGTTTTTTTTGGGTCTAAACGCAGTGACGATCGTCCTTCACAGTGTTCTAATTGAGTTGACACTTAAACATGTTAACAAGCTACAAGAATTTTTTTTAAAATGAGGGTGAACTCGATTCCTTAAAGAAGAGCTCGAATCTTTTTACGAAATTACATAATAATAAAAAAATAAATATAATGATATTTTTTTACGTATACAAAGTAAAAACAAAATCAAATAAAAACAAAACACAACCTTCCCTATGACGACCACCGTACAGTGACGATCAATATTACACCAACGCTTTACAAAAGAACAGTACGAAATGGAGGAAGTTGATATTGGAACGATAACTGAGGCAAATGTCCGATAACATCGCTTAACGTGCGCGAAAATTTTCGCGGCAAACTCACTAATTTTTTTGTGAAAATGCAAATTTTCTAAAATGTTTTAGCCGACCTACCTTTCGTATCCTTAAAAGCGTAGCACAGAATTAATTTCCAGATATTTCTAGTTCCATGTAGTCAGCATTAGATGCTTTAAAGAGATCCTATACGTTGAATTTCTTCTAGGAACTATACGATCCTGACTTAGATAGTCGTACGAAGATGGTCACGGATGGTTGCCGGCGGAAGATATTAAAATTGTTGGTGATACAATCAAGCTTGCAGTTTTAAAAAACCTTTCCTTGCCATCCAGCGATCACCTGTCACATTTGGTGTGTTTAGACTGCTTCAAATGCTTATGTCCTAGTCCGATCTTGATGCAATTGCAAGGCTCTTAGCAATCTTGTTGTTCAATCCTTTTGATGTTCTAATGAGGTTGTAAAAGGCTTTGTTTGAGAGCTGTGCTCTCTCTAGGGAATACCAGATTGTTTTCTAGATGAATGTACTTTTAAGCCATGATTGCTCCAACGATGACATCACTTTGCGCCGTTAAGTGGTCTCGAACCAGAAAAGCTGTGAAAAAGCGACCAAAATTTACACTGCAATCACCCACAAGACGCTTTAACAATTTATGACGCAAGTGCTCGAAATATGCGTGTTTTTTGTATGGGAAAAAAACGCCTACCTTGAGAAAGAAGCATTAGCACTGCAGCTAACACGCACCGGAACCGCCAACAATATGAACCTTGTCTTTTATGCTGACGTAGAAGCATCACTACTCTACTACTGTTTTATTTTTATGTAGAGATTTAATTGAATCATGTCCTGCGCCTTAAAACGACTTAGGTCTGAAAATACGTTTAAATTTTAGGAATAAAACGTACATTCAATTAAAAGCATGATATATTTTAGTGATTACACTTTCACGTGTATAAGATAATTACTTAACTTTACTGCATAAAATCAATAAAAACAAGTTCGATTCTAATTGTCGCTACTTTGGGCATTGTTCGGCTTTTTCTTCATTTCAGGACAGACAATCCGCGTAGCTTTTATGACAACTAAGTACGACGGAACTCCTTTTAGGCAAATTAAAGTTAGGCGGGGACAACATTCTAGTGGCCTAGGATTTGGCGATACTTCAATTGTTATTGGTTTAATCCTCGTAATATTTAAGGCAGATTAGACGTCAGGTTGTGACATATCGAATGCTGAGGATATTAAAATGATTATATCAAGGGAAACTAGTCCGAATGCCTCTAACAAGTACTGTTTCTGTCGAGTCAGTAGAAAGCGCGCGCTGCTTGACAAATCATCCCTTCACCTCTCCCCATGGACTCGAAGCGCAGAGGAAGTATAACTTGTTTTTAGAAGCAAAGATCTTTGGAGGAAGTTATTTGAACGTTCATTTCCAATTTATACTGTGGTTCAATAAATAAAGCCAATGTTGTCTCTAAAGTTTCAAACATAGTGTCTTCATTCTACGTCCTGTTTCTCTGTCTCCAGCTTCAATGACGGGCTTCGGCGGTTTTGATCGGATACCGGTTCGAAAATAAAGATTTGAATATCTTGGCTCAACAAAATTTGAAAAACTAGGAGATGATGGTTAGCGCGCGACTTTACATAGCCTAAGGGTCTACATTCTTCCATTTATTGTTTCATGGTGTTTTTAGCACTGCGAGCACTTATATCAGTGTAAGATGAGGTATCTCAATGGAAAAAAAAAAAAAAAAAAAGAATTACAAATTGTGGCGATGCTAGAGAGGGCACTTACAACACAAGCGTGATTTCCGAGGAGAGGATAAAGAAACGTTTTGCTCATCTTATGCTTAACAGCTTGAAAAAATACCTTATAACAACGCGATGCAATAATCTTCATTCGACAATAAAGAAGACAATTTTTTTTAGAATAACTAGACAATAACAACAAAGCATGTGTTTCACTCTAAAAGCTTCCGATATTCCCACAAGCAAAAGTAATCGGAAGCGTCACTAGGCTAAAAAACCCGTATGTAAAACTATTGAACTATTTCACAACCAACTTACCTTAACACTGAAAGCACATTCTTGGTATATTCTATTTTTTAAGCAACGAAACTCACGCATCACGTTTATCTTACACGTAAGGCGCCAATTATTACTTCCTAGAGAGAAGTCATATTCCGACTCATTTTTAAATAAATTAAAAACCACAATATTACAAATTTTTAATGGTTTTCATTATAAAAGCTTCCCGCTTCTAGTGCGATCACGGTATGAACTCATGGGTCCCGCACTCGCCACTTTCTAGTTTCTAGTTCAAGTTAACGAGGACTAGCTTTATTGGTTATGTTTGTCAGAGAGTTGCATTGTAAATCTACCAAAATGTTCACTTCTTTCGTTGGAATTTAAAGAGAAACTGGGGTCGTAATTAGGATTTAGTAGCCATGCAACAATAGAATATTACTTTATCTCACAGCATTGGCTTAAAATCCATCGAAATTGAAAATATTTTGTTGACATTACAATTTTAAGCATTGATTTATTGAGAGAAAAACTAACTTGGAATAGATCTTCTTTTTTCAAACGTCAAACTTAATGAATCCAGTGATTTCTAAAGCACTTTGGAAAAAAATTATTTCAAAATAATAATGTTATTTTCTGTAGGTTTGAAATAAAAGGTTTAAATATACGTATTTTAAGTCTATATCTAAGAAATATCCAATATAATTTCATAACTTTGTTGACCATTGGTTATTAAAAAAATATATTAACTAAAATGAAATACGCCATTCATGGAGATGTTAATATTATGAGAAAAACTCTCGCAGCATGTGCAACAAGTAATTAGACATAAAATATAAAAAATGTAAGATTCAGGATTAAAAACGGTCTCCAAGGAGTACTAATATCTATTTCGTCTCGCTGAGAACTTAAACCGTTAATTACATGGATTTTTTTAAGCCTCAAAGCTACAAGTTACAAGAAAAGTTGTGATCAGGTTAATAGTTATCTTAAATTTTAGGTTCTGAGACCAACTAATTAAATTATTTCATTTGGTACTATTATTTACATACATTATGCTAAAGCTCGATTGAATTTCCATGTTTGATTAATTGAATTTGATCTGCCGCCACCACTACTTGCTCAAAATATTAAGACATCTCAAAAGGATTGATTCATATTAAGGGCTTAGCTGAACCATTTTCAGTGATTATTAGGATGTTCCAGTTGTTTTAATGAATTTTTTTGGTAAAAATTATCCAGAGTCAATTAAAAACGATTTTTTTATGTGATATAATTTAAAGTCATCTGGATTTTTTTATTTATGATAGAATCAGCAAAGAATAACAAGGGAAAAAATAGATGGAATTTGAAAATCTTGAAAAAACTAGAAAATATAGGTTAAAAACTTGATAAGAAATACCTGAATAGCATTTGTTAAGATGTAGATTTGAAGAATTTTAATTTTAAAAGATCCGATTCCTAAAATCGTGAGACTGTAATAATTAATATCGGTAGGGAAGCGTGGTCGAAAGATATTTACAAAGTTGAAAGATAAACATTTGATATCATATAATATGAGTCCTGTTTGCAGTAAACTCTTGAACTCAATACCCTTTGTTTCAGGAACTTAAGAACAAATTATCCTCTGGGGTATTAATTGGAAACTAAAGCAGATACTTTATTCATATGGTCTAACAATGGAAACAATCGACCAAGCCAAAACCAGACTTCAGTGAGCAAAATGAATACTTGTTGATTCATTAGAAATTTAAAAATCAAAATATATTGTCGGAAATTAAACACAATGATATTTAATTTTGTATGGGATTTTTTTGGGTGTTTATTAAAGAAAAAACTCAAAATAATAGAAATATCTACGATATTGAAGTTTGTGTTTACAAATATGGAAATCTCAAAACTTATACGTGATCGCGTTCGACCATTTCAGTTCCCGCTCATTTTTCGCACGCGCGTTGCAATACATGTCATGTGATCAATATTGTATGTACCTTGTGGGAGGTAACATTATAAAACACTTTTTATCTTTCCTTGCATCTAATAGGTTTTCCCACGGTAAAACCAAGAGCTTTCTTTTTTCCAGAGTGAATATTTAGAGTCGTTATCTTTGCTACACGTGGTAAGTATTATGAAACATGGCCAAAATACTCGAACTGACCATTTACACTAACTTATTCTCTTTCGATCGCTGGTTCTTTGACCTGACGATAACTAAAATAGAGCACTTTATCAACACTGTTTGCTTTTTATTTGCAGAATTTCTCCTGCATGGGGACTTTATCTACTCGTTCTACTACCTTAGATCTGAGATAATCTCCGCGAGAGTACAAAACTTCAGTGTATTACTCATTTTAATCATGTCCGCCATTGCTGTGACAAGCTAGACGCCATTCCGTTTTATTCATTCTATTGGCTTGTTCATAGGTTCACTTGTTGAGGTGATGAAGAAATCTAAAAGTTCATGAACTTGAATAAAATAATTCTCGTTGTCATACTTTATACTGTCATCTAGCTTTTCTTATTTGTCTGCTGTTTTTACCAGAGTATTAGAAAAACGTACGTGAAGGTGAACTGTTGACATTCTCCCTCCCAGGCTTTTTTTCGCTGTTCCAGTTGTCGTTGCTGTAGACTTGAGGTTTGTTGTTGTGGAAGTTGTGGGTGTTGTTGTTGCTGACGTCGGGAGAAGTAAGAGGTCTAAATAATCGGAGCTTAATTCATGCATGTTACTTTTAAAAGTCTCTTAACACTCACAGGACAGAAAAATAATTACACTAGACGCTTGAAGGAAGAATTAAGTTCAAAAGTCGCGAAGATATACATTTTCAAAAATCGAAAATTTGTATAAAAACGTGGTGGGCAACAGGTTCTTACAAAATTCACACTTTTCAAAAATCATATCTTTGCAAGTCTTGAACTGACTTAATTCTTCCTTCAGATTTTGCCATACTAAATTAAGGACTAGCGTCCGAAACGTCAGAAGGTTTTTTCATCTTTTCACGGTATATAATTTACCTTTTTATCATTACTGTAAATTTAACATATTCTTCATGTTCCAGCTGTGGTAATTATTCTTCCTTTGTCCTAATTTAAAACTACCAGATAAAAACTCATTTTTTCATTATATTTGTTGTAGGAGTTCAAATGTACAAGGTCAAACTGTAGGTTTTCAGTTAGACAGATACACCAAGCAGAAAGAGTTTGCCTGATGGTCGTGGGTCGTGGGTCGTGTGTACGAAGTCGTGGGTCGTGGGTATGAAGTCGTGGGTCGTGGGTACGAAGTCGTGGGTTCCAATTTTTTTCCCAAATTTATCATTTCTTCACTACACTTCCAAATCGAGATGTGTGGATTTGTTCCTATAAAATCGGTGCAATTGTGGGTTGTGCAAGGTAGTCTGTGTCTATTTGGCCTTTAAATATGGGCAGAAACTAAAGCACGACTTTTAGGGTGCTTTTCAATGCCTTGGTATTACAAAGGACTATTTGACTTTAAATAGAGAATGCGCAGGATTGAAATCAGTGTATATTTCAAGTATTTAGTTCACTAATATGTTGTTCAACGTCACGCAATTCGGACACAAGGTCTTTAATCAAAAAGGTGTTGACAACTCTCAATTTGTTCAAGTAAACGCTTGACGCTGTTTTGGACTGCTGCTTGTCAAGAGCTCTTGCCACTTTAACCAAAACAAAAGACCGACCGAAGACGTCCAAACAGATCTGTGAATGGCCTATCGTCTATTAGAATATAGTCATACTCGACCAACTTTAGAGCTCTATATAACATAAAGAAACCGGCGAATTAGTATTCCCTGTTTGTCATTGGTAGTTAAAAGCAAATATTTTGAGTTTTGGCGTGATAATAGAAAACGAGAGGAGCATCTTATCAGATATTTCCATAAACTTTACACCAACAATCAGAAGCAAAAATAGACTATGTGAAAAGCGATCGAATTAGAAGTGTGTTGAGAATGATTCGAAATTTATAAAAAATTTTGTAGTGTCCACACACCGTGAGCCATGCAGAGTAAAATATTTCAATCTATGGCATAGCTAGGCTCTTTCCAGTCGCACCCAATACGAAAAGATACTAGATCTCTCGTATACATTAGGACATAAAATTAAAATTTGGTTCCAATAAAACTGAATATAAGGTTTGAGACTGGTGATGAAGATGAAGATGGACTGTCCATCGACTTCACACGTTTGCAGCGCGCGGCTTGTCGCTCCAGTTTCTAGGTAACATCCGGATAAAGTCCATTGAAGACTCCTCGTTTAAGCGAACAAGGTAGACGACTAGTGGTTTTTGTTTGTTTGTTGGGTTTTTTTTCTTCTCTTTTTTTTTTTTTTTTTTTTTTTTTTTTTTTTTTTTTTTTTTTTTTTTTTTTTCTTCTTCGCTAAATTTATGTTTAAACAGCAAGGCCAATATATTTTTTTTTTTTTTTTTTCCTTCTTCGCTAAATTTATGTTTAAACAGCAAGGCCAATATACTTAAATGAAATGTAAGAAAGTGCTAAAAGGTTTTCCAGGCCACCAATTTTGGTGTATTTTTATAACACTGTCACGCAAATCAGACACAGACTACCTTGCACAACCCACAATTACACCGAATTTATAGGAACAAAGCCACACGATCTTGTTTTGGAAGTATAGTGATAAATTTAAATTTATAAATGATAAATTTGGAAAAGAAATTGGAACCCACGACTTCATACCCACGACCCACGACTTCATACCCACGACCCACGACTTCGTACCAACGACCCACGACCCACGACCATTAGGCAAACTCAAGCAGAAACGGTTTCTTTTCTCTAATGATCACTTTCATTTTGAAGAAGATATGCAAATGTTTATCCTTCTAAACGTCTTCCCGTAATGTATATCCCGCTTATATCATAATGGCATCGTTTATTTTCGGTCCGTTTTCTGTAACATCGCAATGGCTACACCTTCCTGTAATACATGTATCATTGCAATGGCTTCCTTTCTATACTAGTTAATGACATCACAAATGCTTCTGTCTAATTAATTACCCTTGGTAACATTGCAATATGGATTTCCTTCTTGCATTGGATTCCCTCCACCTGCAAGGTCTTTACTGACACAACAATGGCTTACTTCTATAAAAGAATTTTCTCTATAAAATGGTTCCCTGTGACATCATCACAATGACAATTCAGTTCCTTATTAACACTGACTGCAATGGCTTCCTTTCTACATTGGCCTGTTCTTTGATAAATTCTTAACACTAGTACTTGTTCTAGCCGCTTCAATGACTCCCTTAGATGCATGGATATATATACAGTCTGTATATGATCCTTCCTTCGCGGTATACAAGGTCTTCTCGTGCCATCACCATGTGACATTGTAATGTCTTCCTTCTATATACTTAGTTACTAACTTAACATCGCGCAACATGGCTTTCCTCTATTATACTTTACTAACATCACAATGGCTTCCCATCTAAATGTATCCTCATCAACTTTGCAAAGCCTTTCCTCTAAATACTTTACTAAAACGATACGGCTTCCCATCTAAATGATTCCTCGTACTAACACGGCAATGTCTTCCGTCTACATACTTTACTAACAGCACAATGGCTTCTTTGTATAACACTGTAATGGCTGCCCTCCCCCCCCC